GTTCCAACAAAACACACAGAGCTTATATTAATTATAAACTAGTTGGTCTATTAGCTCAGGCTTATTATTAACTAGCTCTTACAACTTAAATTAACCCATAATTCTTATCTATGTTTAGTTATGTCACTTGGTACCTTACTCAGTGAGGCATTCTTATCTTGCCTCCTCTGCATCTGGCTGGTGACTGCATACTGAGCCTTTCCTCTTCCCAGAATTCTCTTAGCCTGGTTGCTCCACCTATACTTCCTGTCTGGCTACTGGCCAATCAGCATTTTATTAAGCCAATATGAGTGACCAATCTTTACAAGATTTGTAAAGTACAAATAGTACAAGAGCATTATCCCATAGCAGGGAGGCAGAGTGTCTGGGAAAGCCTCAGCTGCTGCTGACAAAAGCCCTGACAACTAATGGGCAGTCCCAGCTGGTAACCAGAAAGCAAGATGGAAACCCTACACTTTTCCTTACAGGGACATCGATTGGGGTTTGTGCTCCTAGAGTTTCACTGATCTTTATGAGGGTGTCCTTATGGGATGTCAAGGAGCACATGGGCACAGAGAGAAGCAGTGTCATGGAGGTCTGGACCAGAACAATTTCCTGCTTTGATAAGTGAGATGTCTGCTCTCTCTCTCTCTCTCTCTCTCTCTCTCTCTCTCTCTCTCTCTCTCTCTGTGTGCCCACATGTATGTGCCTGCTATGTCATATATATGGAGGTCAGAAGACAACTTGCAGGAGTAGGGTTTTTTTTCCTTCCACCATGTGTATTCTGGGGATTGAACTTTCTGGTGGTTATCAGACTTATTGAAGCCACCTCTCCAGGCCCTGGCTCTAGGTCTTTAGACCACCAAAGACTCTGCTGGTGGAGAGCAGTATTGCCCACTTGACAATATTTGTTCGTGTTGGATCCTCTTTCTTCACTCTGTCTCAGGCTCTGTCCCTTCTTGGCAGTGACTTCTGACCCTCCTGTCTTGGACACAGATTACAGTCCTTATTCCTTGTGCTATTTTTTGCTTTGGATAACACCCATCCTGACTAGGTTTAAGTGGACAGTGGGTGGTGGGTCAGAGGGATGAACACACACCAGAAAGAAATGGATGCCTTCTTGAGTGGAACCTAGGTGGTGCAGAGCCTGAGGAATGCTACTGCCACCTCCCAGTCTTTCTGGGGTAGAGGGGACACAGCAGCTCTTTACTGAGGGGTTGAAGGGCTGGCAGAACCCTGGGAGCAAGACTAGGGTTCAGCTAAGGATATGGGCGTTCAATCAAGACTGAAGCCAGATTTTTTTTTGAGACACCAGCTCACAAAAAAACAATACAGAGACTTATTATTAATTATGAAAGCTCAACCTATAGCTTAGACTTGTCCCACTAGCTCTTATACTTTAGTTAACCCATTTATATTAATCTACATTTTCCTCAGGACTTTTCACCTCTCCTTCATCTTGCTCCTCCTGTTTCCTCTCTGTGTCCTCTAGTGACTTCCCTCTTCTTCTGAGAAATCTCTGTCTGGAAGTTTCGCCTCTACCTCTTGCCTAGCTATTGGCCATTTTGCTTTTTATTAAACCAATCACAGTGACACACCATCACACAATGTAAAAGAATATTCCACAAGACTCTGCTGGTTTTGGCCATTTGTCTAGCAAACCATGGGATGTCCAGAAGCTCTGCTGAATGTCATGGACATTTGATCCAGCAGTCAGTAGGATGCACAAGCCTGAGCAGCTGTTGCAGTTGTAAATATCAGGTGACATTAGTGCCCTGAAACATGCAGGATGCTGATGGCCTGGACTGCAGTTTGCACCAGGGTCACCTACTGAAAAGGAAAGTGATCTTCAGCAATGGTTCAGTGTTGAAGGAGCAGCAGGCTGCGTTCCTGCCACCCAGCTCCTGGCCGCCTGGCTAGCTTATGCCCCAAAATAACAACACACAAACTGTATTCATTTAAACACTGCTTAGTCCATTAGCTCTAGCCTCTTACTGGATCTCATATCTTGCTTTAACCCATTTCTAATAATCTGTGTAGCACCAGTCTTACCGGGAAAGATTCAGCATGTCTGACCTGGTGGCTTGCTTCATCACATCTGCCCTGGAGAGCAGAAGCATGGCGTCTTACCTCACTTCCTCTTCCTCCCAGCATTCTGTTCTGTTTGCTCCATCCACCTATGTTCTAACCTATCAGGGTCAAGCAGTTTCTTTATTAATTAACCAATGACCTTTTTTCATCAGTTCAGGAATCTTGGGAATTTTTTCCCCCCATGGAGATGGGATATGAGGTGAGAGCCCTTCCTGGGGGGGCTTTTGCTCACACGATGGGGATGTGGAGCAGGGCATCCCTTGGGGTGCCCACCCCTAGTGGACTGGTCACAATGTGTCTAGCACACTATGAAATGCCCTTCCAGTGCACTCCAAAGAGGTGAAACAAGTTCAAGGCTTCCGAAGGCAAGAGGCGATTCCTCCATCTAGATCTACACAGGAGAGCTGATGTAAGCCCTGAGTGCAGAGTCCACCTCTGGTCCTCTCACCCTTGGCATAATCCAGGCTGGAGGACCGATCTGGGCTTTTATTTTCCTAAGCAAGTGAGTTGGTGATCTGCATCTAGCAGGAAAAATCATGATAGGTGGATTAAGTGCAGTCTTGGCCTGGAAGACACCACCAAGTAGTTTACTGTAGTCCTCTGCTGATAGGTTTTCTCACTTAGGAAAGTTTAAGGCCTTTGGCTCTAGTTTGACTTTCTTTTTCTTAAATATTTATTGATTTATTTATTACTTTTATGTGTGTGAATACCGTATGTGTGTTGGTACCCTCAGAGGCCAGAAGAGGGAGTTAGGTCCCCTGGAGTGGAGCTACAGGCACCAATGAGCCACCAGATGTGGGTGCTGGAAATTGAACTCACGTCCCCTAGAAGATCAGCAAGGGCTCTTAACCACTGAGCCATCTCTCCGGTGCCTTTAGTTTAGTTTTGTTTTTAGTAATGAAACTCCTTCAAGCAGTCACTCAGATTTATAGGAAACAGAAAACAACTCAGGATTTCACTAACTCTGAAACTTTATTTCGTAACTGCACAGAGGTAACATTTAATTTTGCAGTCTGTTGATAATAATGGTGAGGCCATTCACAGGAACAGAAAGCCACATGAAGTCAGGATATAATAGTCAACTGTGACAATCACATCACTATGCGTGGGCACTGTTGAGATGCATATTTCAGAAAGAGAAATCGTCACAGATGATGACTTAAAAAATGCTTTTCTTACTTCAGAAGAGCAGGTTATCACTTCAAAATCAAGTCAACTCACAGTCACCAACCAATTCTGGAATATTAGCACAGATGCGGAAGACAGCCCGTGTAAAAGAGTTAGAAGTGCTTCCTGATGGTGGGAGCGTCACGGCTGGAAGTCTGTTACATCTTTACTTGTTTCCACACTGTTAGAACAGTCAGGAGAGCATGCATTGAGCTGACAACAAGTATCACGAAACGCCAAGGTCCTCAGTGTATTGAGGGGCTTCTAAGTTCCAAACGTTGCTTGAAGTGCTTAAAAGGCATTGTGCCATTTGATCCTAACAGCCACTCGTTTTTAGATAAGGAAACTGATGTACAGAGAGACTAAGCAACTGGCTTACACTACACAAGAATCTACCACGAGGTTGTGCATGAACTGTGCCAGAGCTATGCCTGGCATGTGACTATGTGGTGTTTGTTTATGGTGTCCCAGCGCACTCAACCTGGCACACACACACAAGACGTCGCGGCTTTCAAGTCTATGTACAGACACAGAGAGCTTGAAGTATATTGCCCACAAATGGGTCAGTCTGGAAAGAAGAGCAAACTTAGTGAACACTGGTGTGCTGAGCCTTGGTCCTCAGCACACTTGAAACTCCCTGTCCTGTGTTTGAGATTTAAGGAGTTTGAAACACATTTGCTTAATATCAGTCTTCTACAGAACTAAGGAAACACACTTGAGTGACACATAGCTAGTGGAGGGTGGGTTCCCAAGATCCATTCTGGGCATCTGTCTAGGTATCTCTTCTGAGCATTTTGATGCTGAGACCATTTAACCCATTGGGCCTCTGCTTCTTTCTCTTTCTAAAGAGTAACGCAGCCCCCCCCAACACACACCCTACGAATGCACACAACACCCTACACAGAGTAGACTGCTGCACACATGAAGTGGGATTTATGTGGAACACATTGCATGTTGCGGCCCTCAGTAGGTTGTGAGGTCACTTCCACCAGTTTTAAAGTCTTCATGGTTCAACAGACCAGAGTGACAGTCACAGCCACTCTGCGCATGTCCAGTTGTGTGCGTGTCTTTGAAAGTCCATCTTTTGCTCAAAGATTTCTCTCTATAGCTGTGGTGTACCCCTTGGTAACAGACTGGGTCAGTCATCCATGGGTCGTGAGACTGACCCTGCAGCTGGTTCTGGAACCGTCCACATGAAGTAGAAGAAAGGTGTGTGTGGAGGGAGACACACTGCCGGTGACATTAGAAACCCAAGGGCACGATGGTCCTAATTCATCTGGTGGAGGAAGGCCTGCCTCCCAGCTCCCCAGATCCCTAGTGTAAGGCCTGTGACTGCTCAGCTGTAGAGGACAGCTTGGGGAAGCTTCCAGAGTCTCACAGAATTTGCTAATTTGAGGGAAATGTCCCAACAAGCCACTCCACCTCATCTTTTAAACCTGCTTTTTTTTTTTTTTTTTTTTTTAATAAGGTCAATTCATTCTTCTATGGTATGAGTCAACATTGTTCTACTTGGTGTGGTTTAAGACAGTACATGTATTTGCATATGTCTGTGAGCGTGTGTGTGTGTGTGTGTGTGTGTGTGTGTGTGATGAGGATGGCTGGCGGGAGTTGATTCTCTCCTTCCACCATGAGGGTTCTGGGGATCAAACCTTCCCGAAGAGGGACATAGAAGAGAAAGTAATGCCTTTTTTTTTTTTTTTTTTTTTTTTTTTTTTTTTTTTAGTTAGGGAGAGGTTTAGCATGGAAAGAGCAAAAAAAAAAAAAAAAAAAAAAAAAAAAAAAAAAAGCCCAAAGTACTAGAAAAAGCTTACTTTGGTTTGGGCCCCAGGCAAAAGAACAAGTGGAAGTTACATTTTGTGGTGGCTCTGGAGTGACTGTGCAGATCCCAGGGATTCTGGGAAAGAAAAGCACACGATCTCATTAAGGGGATAATTATTCCTCCCATCTCTTTCGCATGGAGTTGGATGAATCTGTCTTCTTAAAGGGCAGTCCATTAGTCAGCTGATGGGCCTGCCCAACTGGATTAACTCTTCTATTTTGGTTAGTTTGGAATGTTAGGTCTCCACCTAGGCAAAAGGTGGATAGATTCCACTCTTCTGACCAGAAGGCAATGGTTTTCTCTTAATGAGACTCCAAAAAGCCCTGATCAAGGCCACTATAAAATTCCCTCCTCTGAAGATATAACCCTAAAATCATTTAGGGGATGGGCTAAAATTGGGGAACAGATATAAGCCATTTTTATCAGGAAAATCTAGAGATCTATTTCTAAAGCAATTTACAAAGCGATTAGTGTCTGGCTGAGGTCCCAGTCCCACCCCAAAATAACCTCCATGAAGCTGACAACGAGAAATCAAAGCTCCTTCATGACATTCATGGATCAGAGAGCCAGGGACACTCTTGGAATGCCCCTAAACTGCCTAGCCAGTTTCTTTTCTTTTCTAAAGATTTATTTTACAGGTGTGTGCTGCACATATGTATGTGTACCACATGTGTGCAGCGCCCAAGGAGACCAGGAGAAGGTGTTAGAGAGCCTGAAACTGGAGTTTGAATGGTTGTGAGTCACCATGTGGGTGCTGGGTTCTGAATTCCTCTAGAAGAGTAGCAAGTGCGCTTAACCTCCGAGTCACTTCTCCTGCTCCTGCCTAACCAGTTTCTATTTCCTGTCCACATCATCTGAAGAGGTTGCCAAGCAACCTTATCAACTGAGCTACCTGGCTGACCCTGCTGAGCTTAAAGGACACTGAAGTACAGAAGCTTTAGGTATTTTAGGAACTTAGTCATGTATTTACTAACAATCTACTTAAGAGTCCCCCAAACCAATCTACTCAGAGTCCAGGCGATTTTTTTCCTCAGAAAGAAAGATTGAGATGGGGCACTAATAGGTACATCTCTCTAATCGCAGAACTCAGCTTGGGAGGCTTTGATGCAGGAAGAGTGCAAACTCAAGGCCAGCCTGGGCTATAAGGTGAGACCCTGTATATATATATATATATGCTTCTAATGCTTGACTTCAACCCTGTATATTAGAGAAAAACCCACTGTAATAAGATTAGCCTTGTCAAGCACTGTCCCTGTGTCCACCAGGAGGTGAAGGGGGGCCGGGAGGTCTCTCAGTTATTCCTTGCATTGTCCCAGCGGCGATAGCCCTCTCTTTCCCCTGGCTCCTCCCTGCTCTCATGCTCAAAGTAGGCCTCTTCTTCTTCTTCCTCCCGGACCACCTTCATCAGCTCCAAAAAGGAGGGTAGTGGGCCCTCATCCTTCAGCTCCCGGAGCCGGCACCAGAGAACATTGTTAAGGTTGGCTCCAGCCATGACCTGCTCCAGGCGTACCTGGTCAGCAATGTTCCGGGGAATAGCCCGTTTTTCCACAGCTCTCCGGAGCAGAGTTTCCAACCGGAGCACGTAGGCTGAGATTTTCTCCCCTTCTTGCTGATACGTCTTTAGGTATTTTACCTGCGCGGACCTACGGCTCTCCAGGCTCCCAAACACCTGCTTAAAGGCCTCCAGACACTCTTCCACGCTGATGGAAGCATTGTCTGCCTGGACAATGTGCATGAGGTCCAGGGCGGGGCCACGAAGACTCTCCATCACCCACCTTTTCTTTTCGGCCTCAGGGATGGGCCACTCTTTGGCTATCTCAGTGGCCTGTTCCAACCAGACCTCGAAGGACTCCTCCTCTGGGGCAGGGTCTGTGCTTCCAGAGAACACTCGAAGCTTACAGTACTTCAAGGGCAGTGGGGGCCTTGGGGCGTGAACCATTGCCTGCCCCACAAAGTGGGCCAGTAACTCAGGGGATGTGAAGGCTGTGGTAGCCGGAGACACTCCCTGCTGCTTAAGGGCTCGGAACATCCCCGCAACCGTCTGCCCTTCTTTTTCTAGAAACAGGTTCAGTCTCTGGAGAAACTCAGTGTCCTGGTTAGGGGTCTTAAAGACCACTTTCCAGACACCCCCCTTTCCCTGCACCTCACTGGGGACCACAGACATATCCGTGTCCTCCGTGAGCTCCAGTAAGACAGCGTTGGTGTTGTCTTGCTTCTGGAATAGCTTGCCTAGCAGGCGGTAGTTGCCCACACACTTGAGCGCCTCCTGCAGGGCCGCCTGGATCTCAGGCTCACCACAGTTCACTGGTATGCCCGTCACCATCAACGCCTTCTGGTCATCTACACTCATGATCTCGCACCAACCCTCCAGCAGGGCCACTGCCATCCTCCCAGGCTATGCTTTTACACTTAGGCCCTTTTGACTTAGTCTCAAGAAGCAGGCGCTTCCCGTGTGTCTTCAGACCCGCGGCAAGTTTGATGGGTACTACAGTTACCTGTGGCTCTGCAGTGGGTTTGCTGCTCGTTCCTTCTGAGAGCCGGGGACAGCTGTGTGGCGCTGACTCCTGTCACTGGGAGGCACTTGGAACAACTGCTTTTCCCATCTCCTGCTTACTGTCACTTTGGCTCTCTCCGGTCAGTGGAGAGGTGGCTTCCACTGTAGCTCAAACCTCTGGGGAGTCACACAGCAAGATGGTGGGGACGCCTAGGGAAACAGAGGTTCATTTTTACTACACAGACCTCTACTTCCCAGGACACACCCACATTCTAGTTTGGAATGGAACGAGGGGTGGACCAAAGGCTATGACTCCCACTGTCCCTGTGTCTGCCTACCCTGTTGAACTGTCTTTGCTTACTGTACCCTTTCCCTGTGGGAACCAGCTTGAATCCTGTCTCTCCATCCTGAAGCCCCATCAGTGGGTGGGATTCAAGACCTTTACCAGTTGAAAGATGAGATTAGGAGACATAGTTAAATACCTGTTTATGTGCTCCAGAATGTTCCTCAAGAATCAAGGAGCCATGTATTCAGTTTGCAGCTCAGGAAGATGTCTCCCACTTCTATATAATAGTCTGTATGCGTCTTCACTTCACCCAAATCAAGCTGTCCTGTTATACACAAACATGAATAATGTGTTTTTAGGCCTAAAATCTAGTAATAAAGATTAATGCACGTATTAAAAATATAACAGTTCAGTAAAGCATGAAAAAAAAAGTGACAGACCTGCACAATTTAATGGAACATCCTAAATAAGATAGTTGCTATATTTTAATGAAGAAAAAGCCCACCTAGTTCTGGGGATGCTCGTCAGTCCAAAGAGTACTTGCCTAGCATATAGGCAGGAAGCCTGGAGTTCAGTTCCCAACATCATGTAAACTGGGCTTGGTGGCACATGCTTGTAATCTCAGCATGTGGGAGGTAGAGGCAGGAGGATCAGGAATTTAAGAACATTCTTAACCACATATGGAGTTTGAGGCCAGCCTGGGCTACATGAGAACAATCTTTAAAAACAAATTCAACTGCACTGTGTGTGGTGGCACCCCCAGTATTCGTGGAGATGAGGCAGGAGGATTGCAAGTTTGTAGTCAGTCTGGGCCTCATAGGGAAATCTTGGCTCAAAAAGAGAAGAAAAAGATATAAACAGAACGAAGTGGAATTAGTCAAATATTTAAAAATGATTTTTAATGGGTATAAGATAAAAGTTGAATCTCAGAAAAATAAGTGTACTTTGGAGTTAGGATATTCCTACCTACCGAGTGAAGTGTCCACGAAGCAACTTGCTCTGCAGGGAAAGGGAGACCTACAAATGTAAAAGGGTCCCTATGACAGCATGGTCACTTACTCACGGGGATGCCTTCCTAACAGGCTGAACATCACAGAGTGCACTTATGCAAGCTAAGATATCCACAATGTCACCAGACCACATGAATTCTTTTTTTAAATTAATTTGATGTGCATTGGTGTTTTGCTTGCATGTATGTCTGTGAGGGTGTTGAATCCTGTAGAAATGGAGTTACAGACAGTTGGGAGACACCATGTGGATGCTGGGAAATGAACCTGGGACCTCTGGAAGAGCAGTCAGTGCACTTAACCACTGAGCTATCTCTCCAGCCCTAGGCCGTGCATTCTTATGGAGTCACTGTGGTATGCCAACTGCGGTGTTCGAATGTGGTGCTTGGCGGTGCCTCCCAGAGACCTTTGTAGAGTGTACGTTAGGATGCCACAGCCATTTCTCCCTTTAGCCTGAACGTTTCCCATCAGTCTGAGGGAGGCCCTATGGCATAGATGCTAGCCATAACTATGGCAGAAGCTGTCTCAGAAGCAGCTTCAGTCTTTCTGGGAGGTGCTAAAGGTTATTCCAGTGCCAGAAGCAGGAGGACAAGATGCTGCCTTACCCTGTGCCTGGGAGCATGGGGACTTGGGACTCCAGACCAATCCAAGCCTGAGATCTTCTTGTAGGAAAGGGAGTGGACTTCCTCCTCTTGGTGTATTTGGAGGAATCAGAAGTGTAAAGGGGACTGGAGGGTCTAAGAGTGACACTCAGGTCAGTAGAGCACTTGCTACCATGCATGAAACCGTGAGTTAGATAAGCCAGGCAGAGTGGCACGTGCCCATGACCCCAACCCTTAAGAGCTGAAGGCAAGAGGATCAGAAGTTCAAGAGCATCCTTGGCTACATAGGGAGTTTGAGGTCAACCTGGGGTTACATACAGGACCTTGTCTCAAAAACAACAAAAACAGCCAAACAAAGGCACTGAATGCCCAGGTCCACAGCAAAATTGTCATGCTAAAATTATCTAGCTTTTGAGGCCTTTCACCTACAAGGGATAGCCTTAAAACAAAACAAACAAACAAACAAACTGAAAACCCCCGCGTGTCTGGAGAGATTGCTCTGTGGTTAAAAACACAAGTTTTATTCCTAGCACCCATATAGTGGCTCACAACTTCTGCAACTTTAGTTCCAGGGGATCTGACACTTTCTTCTGGCCTACAAGGGCTCAGGCATGCATGTGGTGCATGTACATATATTCAGGCAGAACACACACACACACACACATAATGAAAATTACTCCCCCCTCCAATTTAAGATCCCAAGTGAAACACCCTTCATGTACAAAGGGCCACGAAGGAAATGTTTAGATGTGAGAGAATACAAGCATTTTGCATTTTTCTCATACAGAGGGGGCCCACAGGAACCAGGCTCCAGGGATCAAAGACCCGGCTTGAATCTAACTTGACATATGACCTTAGGCATAGCCCCTCCTAACCCAGTGTCCTAACTTGGAAGGCCAGAAGGACCAAATCCCTCATCGCACAGGGCTTTGGTGAAGCATTGGAAATTTTAGTGGAAGCTTTTGTTAAAATGCCAAATGCATCGGGTGCTAATGTCCAAAGGGCCACATATGGTGCTCTCAGCTCCTGCATAAGTTCGGGGTGTGTGTGTGTGCGTGTGTGTGTGTGTGTGTGTGTGTGTGTGTGTGTGTGTATGAACTGTGACTCTCCATCCATCAAGGTATCTCCAACAACTGGGGGCGTTGGTATCCACATACAATCCTTCCCTAAGCAAAGGCTGACAATGGAACTGATTTCTTGGTCACACCGCCCTGTGAGAATACACTGCAGCAAACTGTCTCTCATAGACCAAACCCTTTTTCCTTAGTGAGCATGCTCAGATCTCCCTCCAGGGTCCCTAAAAGATGGACAACACTTCTGCTGGTTTCAACCACTCTGGAAAAACAGAGGGGGCTTAAATCCACTAGAAACAGGACCAGAGGTTGGGAAGAAGCCAGGAAGGACCCAAGATAAGAGTTTGGGCTGGAAAAGCCTCCAAGCTGGGGACCGTGGCTGGACCGCGTGCGCGCGCGCGCACACACACACACACCTCCTCAAATCTTTACACACTTTGGCTGCGCACAATTCACAGTATGTAATCCTCCCCTAAACCGTGATTGAGCTCTACCCTTAGCGCAAAGCGCTGCCGCCAGAGAGAAACAGCATCTGGCAGCCGCGGGGTTCTGGCGCAGTGTGCAACAGGGGCGGGGGGGAGCTAGGTGGGACGCCCTGAAAACAAGATGTGTCTGGAGTGGGCTCAGTCTGCCCAGTTCCCAACCATTTTGGGTGGCGGTGGTGGTGGTAACCAGGTGTGTGTGGGGAGGGGGCGGTGAGTGGGTGTGTGTGGTGGAAGATACCAAATCCAGACCCTCTTGGGCCTTTCCTGGGGCAGTGGCCAACCTGCAGGGCTTGGGACTTTCAGATAATGTTGAGGGTCCTCAGTCTCTATGTTGAGGTGCAGTGCTGTGAGTCGCAACCTGCATTCTTCTCTAGACCCCCAAGCACCACAGACCTGCTTCTTTCTCCGGGTCATTCCGCCCTTTCGCTACGCCCCTCTGCTTTCTTCCCCGCCATGTTGTGAGCCCCACCTTCTACCGCAGCAGCTGCAAGCAGCAAGAATATCCTCCTTTTTCCTCTGCTCCTTGAAGTCTTCCCCCGACAGTCCCCTACACAATCCAGGTCGGGGGTAAACTGAAGCTTTGGTGTCGGGTACTTGGGTGTCTGAGACAAGCCCTTGCTGTTTCCAGGATTACCCCTCCCCAGAGTCTGCAGGCTTGACCCTAGGCTTCCCCAACCCTCAGCCCTCACCCAGGGACAGGGGAGCCACCTAAGCAATGCAGCGAGGCAGGTGGAAGAGAGAGACTCAGGGTTAGGGTCTGCACCCTCCAGTCCTCGCCCAGCTGTAGTTGTCCGACACTCACCCTGGCGCCGAGAGCGGTCTGCTGGGCGGCCGCCGCGCATCCATTAGCGGGTGGAGTGACCGCTTCACTTCCGGAGCGCGGGCTCCGGGTGCCCCCCACCTCCTTGTACCCTCCCTTTCTCGCCCCTCCCTCTGAGTCCCCTCCTTCCCTCTCCCCCCCTCCTGATCGCGCGTTCAGCCCGCCCCGCCCCGCCCCGCGTTGCCGGGAACTGGCATCCTCTGCCGCAGCGACTGCCCGCCCAGATCCAACTTTGCCGCTCGCTCGGAGGTGGCGCGGCGGCGCCGGGGGGCGTGGGTAGGGAGGGAGAAAGCAGGGTCAGGAGGAGGGACCGGGAGGGGTGGGTCGCCGGCTCGCCAGCCCTCCATCCTTTCTGTGCACCTTGCTTTAGGCAGGGAGCGGCAGCAGCGGCGGCGGCAACGAGGGGCTAGTGCACACCCAGCCAGGGAGACTTAGGGAACCACGGACGGACGGAGAAGACCCTCCCCAGCGCCCCCCGAGTCATGGCCGAGAGAAAGCAATCTGGGAAGGCGGCAGAGGACGAAGAGGTCCCTGCCTTTTTTAAAAATTTGGGCTCGGGCAGTCCCAAGCCCCGGCAGAAATTCTGCGGCATGTTCTGCCCGGTGGAAGGGTCCTCGGAGAACAAGACCATCGATTTCGATTCGCTTTCGGTGGGCCGGGGCTCGGGGCAGGTGGTGGCTCAGCAGCGGGATGTCGCCCACTTGGGCCCGGACCCGCACCGGCAGAGCCGGCGTGCCAGCGGGGAGCCATCTGTTGAATCGGGCCGGAAGGTGGAGATCCGGCGGGCCTCGGGCAAGGAAGCCCTGCAGAACATCTACGATCAGGTTGGTATGGGAGGGTGGGGACGGAAAGTGGGGCTGAACCCTGGCATCTCGCGGAGGACCGAGCATCCCCGCGTGGCGGCCGGCACGCGGCTCTTGGAGCTCTGCCTCCCGCATCTGCACGCGCACCGCGCCCTGCCCGCCCCTTCACCGCGCAGGGTGCGGCGAGGCACGGGTTCGCCGGTGGGCGTCTCAGCGCCCACAAAGGCTGCCCTCGCATCCTTGTGCCTGGGAGGTGGGGAACCCGCGTCAGGGACCAGCTGATCCCTGAGCTAGAGGCGACGAGTGGCGATTGGGGTGGACCACTGTGCTGTTCTTAAATCCTCCCGGGCGGCATCCGATTGCAGCTGCGGCTCAGTGCCCCACCCTTTTTTGATGCAGCTCAAAGAGCGCAGGGGAGGGCTGCAGTGAAGGCCAGAGGACTTCCCTGGGGTCGAAGGGGGAAGGGGCTCACATGACTCCTCGGACTGGCAAGGTCTCCGCCTTGGGAGCGCTTCGCACCAGGGTCCTGTCCCCTGAGGTCAGGACCACGGCCAGCGCCCCGAGCCTGTCACCAGTGCCTGGACTCGGTTCACAACCAGTGAAGAGTCGGGAAGGCCGTGATGTCACCAAGAAAAGCTAGATAGCCCATGTGCTGAACAAAGTTCTGCTAAGTGTCTCGGCAAGGGCTTCCCAGCGTGCTTCCCCAGCGCTGTTTGGGAGGCACTTTGGGAATGGGGAGAGACTACGTGGATTATATTCAAAGAGCCAAAAAGGAAAGGAAAAAGAGGATGGGAGGGGAAGACTTGCATTTGAAGACAAGACTCCCTGATTGTGTTAATGTTGAGACAAAGAAGGCTAGTTTGGTTAGTTATCCGCGGTCATAGAAAATGTTTGACATGGTCCGGTAAATCCCAGCAGTGCCCATTTCAAATCCACTCGTCTTTTCACACACATTTTCCTCCGTTACGGGGCAACATTTATGCTCGTGTATTTTTTCACAGTTTTTAATGTCTGAACTGATCATTTACAGTGCACAGTGCCTTAATACTCGATTGCTGTTTCTCTCCCGTGCCCGCGGTGAAGATAAGAAGCCAATCTATGAATGACTTTATACTGAATTCCCACGTGCCTTCCCTTCCAGGGCAGGAGGAAGGTTAGTCCTAAAGGTGCTTCCATTCAGACAGCCACTGGACAAATTGGGGGCAGTTTGTACATGCTCACTGCGGGGCTTGCCCAGCATTCCTGTTGTATGCTGCAGAGAAAGCCTCAGAGAGCATCTCTGGGGTCCGTTTCCCAACACCGCAGAGTGTTCGGGTTTTTGACTTTCCTAGAACCACTTCTAGCCAAAAAAAAAAAATACTTAATTTACACTCACCCACCCATCCTCTGATTTTTAATTTTATATCACACTAAGAGGCAACTGGAATCTAAATCCAAAAAGCTTGTTTTGTTCCAAGTGATCAATTGAACTAAAAAGTCTCTTCTTTCCTTCCTTTTTTTGGCTTTTTCTTTGCTCTCTCTTTTTTCCTTTTCCTTTCTTTCTTTTCTTCTTTTTTGAGACAGAATCATCTCTCTCTGTAGCTGAGACTGGACTTGTACTCAGACAATCCCAGTGCCTCCTGGGTGCTGGAATTACAGATGTGAGCCACCATGACCAACAGCTCTATCTATCTATCTATCTATCTATCTATCTATCTATCTATCTACTACCTGTCTGTTTATCTATTTATCTATCCATCTATCATCTATTTATCAATCTATCATCTATTTATTAGCTATCTATCATCTATCTATTATATATTTAACTATTATCTATCTATCTATCTATCTATCTATCTATCTATCTATCTATCTATCTATCCTTTCTTTCTTTTGTGGTGCTGGAGCCTGAACCCATGGACTAGTATGTGCTAAACAATTTTTCTCTTACTGAGCTACATCCCTAACCCAAATGTTTCAATATTGTACCTTATACTGAAAACAGGGTAAGTATAAAATGAATCCATGGGAGTATGTTGGTGAAAGTCAAGACCATATAGTACAGGGGTTGAGTGAACACTCCCAAGTCAGACATACGGGTCATTCCAACAGCCTGGAGGGAACAGAACCACATCTGGAGAGTCCACAAGAGAACACGTAAAGATGGCAGATGAGATGACCCCTGTGTAACAAAGGCAGCATATTAACACTCGAATCTGAAGGGCAGCTTCACTGGCTGTAAGATCAGGAGTGATTGTGGGAACACACCCTAAATTGAGCAGAAACTCTAAATTGCAAATCTAGGGAACATAAAGGAGGCAATTTGAAGGTGAAAGCACCAGCCCAAATCCCTATTTTAACCCCTGCAAACCCATCTCTGCCTCACTTTCCTGGTCATTAGCTCTAGAGGTCGGTTCTGGCTCAGTCTTTCTGCAGCCCTCTCTGGTTCATTTATCACAAAAGGGGCATTCCTGTGGGATTTTGTCATTTATAACTAGGGACAGTTACCCAGCTTGGTGCTTACAATGTATGAATTTTTCATGGTTCACAAGAGGATGTGCATATATGTATAACGATGGTGACAGAAAGCACAGTTAGTTGGCTCATTGTTTTGACAGAATCAGTGGTCATTATTTAGGGTCATTACACTCATGAGGAGAGTGTCTCCAGGCTTTCAAGGAATTCTTCTAGAAGCTCTGGCACAGAGGAGGGTGGGTGGATTGGGTTATGCCCCCTTCTCCTCCCTTGAATCTTTGTTTGTAAGGGGTCTTAAGAATGGTCAGAGTTGCCAGGTATGACAGCACACACCTTTAATCCAGCATTGTGGAGGCAGAGGTAGATGGACCTCAGTGCATTCAAGGGCAGTCTGGACTACACCTTGAGTTCAAGGTCAGCCAGGGCTGCTTAGCAAAGTCCTGGGGGGGAGGAGAGAGAGGAGAGAGAGAGAGAGAGAGAGAGAGAGAATATAATCTCTTTGAGGGCACACACACAATGACATTGGGAGTCCCTATCAAACCATACATCATAAAGGTCTATCTCCCTGAGAATCCAGGCTTCACATACAAACCTTTGGAGGACCCTCAGTGTTTAGCCATGGCAGTTGTCAGCTTGCCAGTGAACAGTGGTCTTCGAGCCCCACCTTGTCTCCTGGGATTCTTCTCTTCCATTGGAGATATGGTTAGGTCAGAAACATTCTCTCATCCTGGGATTCTGGATGCTGAATCCCTTTCAAAGAACTTCCAGGCCCATTTAGTCATGAACAACACGTGTAGACTACAGAGGTAGGGAAGTAACTGTCCTCAGGTCCAGGGCAAATGCCAGTGAGTGGGTTATGTAGACCTCTGCTGAGCTTGGCTCAAACACATCCCCTAGATACTTGCTGAAAACTCAATTCTCTGTGTAGTCCCATGCTGGGAAGCGAGGCTGGTGGGAATAGCCTCCTCTTATGCTTGTCGGCACTGATGATACAAGAGCCCGAGACTCTTGAGTTGCGTCGCTTTTCCTCTTTTGCCAATGTGACGCTTTCTACCATGTCACATGGCAATGGTGTGCAACCTCAGTCTTAGACTTCCCGGCTTCTAGATTCAAGTACCAAATGGAATTCTTGTCTAGGACGGGAGAGATGGCTCAGTCAGTAAATGGCTTGCTGTACAAGCCTGAGTGAATCACCAGTGCCAGCATAAACACCTGGGTGTGGGGTAGGCATGGTGCACAGCACTTGGGAGGCAGAGGCAGGCAAACCTCTGTGTGTTCAAGGCCAGGCTGTCCTATGTAATATACTTCAGAACAGCCTTGGCTACACGGTAAGATGCTGTCTCAAATCAAGGCAGTGTTTTGTGGCGGTGTGCGTTGGTAATCTCCGAGCTGGGGAGAAACAGTTGGGAAGATCCCCTGCGCTTACAGCCAGCTGCCCCAGTCAAAGCAGCAAGCCCTAGGGCTCAGTGGGAGGCTTGTCTAAATAAGGAATATGGATGCCTGAGGCCAACCTCTGGCTTCCACACACATGTGCATACACATACAGTCACAATATATGATCATGCATGCATATCTGAACATATGCATATAAATAAACACGTAGTAGGATAAAATAAAGAACAAGGAATATGTCTTTGTTATAAGTTACCCAATTCAGGTATTCTGTTACAGTAGCACATAAAATGGATCCAGACAGTCACCATGCCTGTACAATGCTTTCTAATATTTCTTTCCATTCTGGATCCATATCCTCTCTCCCCAGATTGACTGTTTCCCAGCCCTAGGTTCCCAGTGTTCCACAACACCATCCCTACCCCATCCT